CCAATCACAACACACACTGGCCCAGCTAACCAATCACAGCACACACTGGCCCAGCTAACCAATCACAGCACACACTGGCCCAGCTATCCAATCACAACGCACACTGGCCCAGCTAAACAATCACAACGCACACTGGCCCAGCTAAACAATCACAGCATGTTTCGTATTTCAGAAGGCGGGCCTTCATTTGATATAGGAACTATTCGAGCCGTTCATGCCAGACTGGGGAGAGAGGTGTTGTAATAATGTAAAATATGTGAAAAATAATGTGTTTTTCGAACAACCTAGTATGAGAGCCTGTTCTAGTACACCCCCAAAACAAAATCAAGACTTTGTAAAAGAGCATAATAGGACCCCTTTAAGTTCTGAAACTTTCAGGATGTAATAATGACAAAGACCTCTTCTATATCAAAAGATCAAGGGAAATTTGGTTTCTCATGTCATGACCCCTTTAAATAATGCTAAATGCAGTGCACATGAAATCACTGTTGTGTTTGAGGCTATAATTGTTGCTTGGGCTATATGTTGATTCATGTCTTGAGATGTAAATGTTTTCTTTAAGTGGAAAAAAAAGGGTCTGTAAGTGGATTTCACTTAGCATATAATTTCTAAAGTAATGTAAGCCAACATGTTTACAGCTACTTTTAATGTTTTGTGTTTGACTCAGAATCGTGCGAATCTCAGCCCTGTTGTGCAGCACTGATTGCAGTTGCAGTTGTAACAGCAATAACACTTATGGCTGGGTAAGACCTCTACTCTCTTCTACATTATATATCTCATTTAAGACTGGGGGATATACCTGTATATCTCAGAATATTTGTATACACTATATACTTTTTATCATTTAAATGCAGCTTTTATTGGTCCACTGAGATTCTTAAAGTCATTAGATTACTTTCATGATAGCGTTTTTGATTTAATGTCATCTCTGATGTAGATTTCAGTAACAAACTGTGTTAAAGTTGGCAACTTTGATCTTTGATTTTACTCAAAAATGTTGTGGCTTTTTTTAATATACTAAACATGTTAAAAAGTAGGGCAAAATTTGCATATAAATCAGAATGTATATATGAATGTTGAGATACATCAAATGTTGGTGAAAGGCTGAAAAATAGATTTAGATAGAATATTTAGGCTATATCCCCCAATCTTAGTCTTTTGACAAACTTTTTTTTTTACAGGTTCATTGTCATGAAGAAATGCAAGAACAATGCCATCCTTTAGCCAATACTGTACACTCACAGACAACATTTGATTTTTTTATTGTAACAATTTTGGTTTAATTTATTTTACTTATGTTCTATTTTACGTCATATGCTTTTCCCTCTTTTTTTATGACTTTTAATGGTGAACTTTTATTAGAATTGCAGATATGCTGTTCCTGCATATATGTGACTCTCAAACAGTTTTCAGCTTCCAGGTTTAAATGTTCTCAGGGTAGCATGTTTTCTGACTATCTAAACTTTATTAGCTGTTTCTCTGCAGTTTTTCCGTTTGGTAGATTTGATAAAGTTCTTGTTTTATGTCAAAAGAATGTTCTTGTGTTCATCGTAAAGAATGAGTGCTTCTGAAACTTTAGAAATGTGAGTTGTTAAAATGGCTCCTATGGATATTTAAGATATAAGCTGTTTTGTTTACAAAAAATGAATATAAGTGCTATTAATTTGCTCTCTACCTCATTTGTTCTTATTAATCTGCTTTTGGAGCATTTGTAAGCACTGATGTTTAAATTTGTTCAGAGAATAAGAGTCCAAACGGATCTTGAGCGTGGAGTGTGACGGGAGGGTTTTACTGTATGGAAGATCTGCTTGTTTGAACAGAGAATAGTGGCTTTACTCCACAGGAAAGGGAAAAAGGAAACGGCTCAGTTTGCAAACACGGTGACGCCTAAAGACCTTTAACTCTGTGAACTGAGCACAGGAGTTCACAGAATACAGCAGCCCTGCAGAGACACAAACAGCACGTTTACTGTGGGAGCGTCGCTCTAGTGCTTTTATGGGACAGGAGTTTCTGGATACAAGCGTCTCTTTCAGGAAGTTATGAGAGGTGAGTTATGAAAAGCGTCCAGTAATCTCACTCATAAAGTGAATGTGTCTGAACTTTGGTCGCATGTAATGTATGAGGAATATCAGTCTTGCAGCTGTTTGTTCTAGGTGACATGGAACTACGACTAGAGCGATTCATCAGGACTGTTCTGCTTCTGCACGTCTGCTGTGAGTTATTCTGCATGTCTTTGTATGTTTATGTGGATTGTGTTTCATGCCTCTCTGGAATGCTTGATTCTGATTGGCCACTTGCAGTATTCTGCAGCCAAAGTGTATTTTTAGTTTTATTTCTTAGTTGAATGCTGTTCTTTTGAACATTCTATTCATCAAAGAATCCAGAGATATGTATCACTGTTTCCACAAAAATATTAAGCAGCACAGCTTTATTCAAAACTTATCATAATAGAAATGATTATTGCACAGCAAATGACAAATGTACATAATGCCTCCGATATTTAGATTACATTCGAATAATTATTGTTTTTTTAACATTTACATTTTTTGGCAAGCATAAACAGTCTACAGTTGAATTAACTATATTGTTTAATTAAAAATTTAACTTTCATTAAACATTGGTGTTTTTATTTATTTCTACTTCAAATAAATGCATTTAATCACGGTTTCCACAAAAATATAAATTATTATTACTATTAATTATATTAAATAGTATTTATTGATAAATAAATAACTCTTTCTTTTTTTAACATTTAGATATTAGATAGAGCCTGTTACATTAATTAATCAACTTTATTATTTAAATAATAGCTACAATATTTGTTCTTTTGAACTTTCTATTCATTAAAGAAACCAGAAAAAACAACAATAATAAATACACAGTACAGCTTTATATATAATTTAATAATAATACTTTTACTTTTTTTTTTACATTTCTCAGCAACCATAAACAGTCTACAATTAGATTAATGAGCTATATTATTTGAATAATTATTATATAAAAAATTTAACATTTATTGAATGTTGAATATTTTTATTTTCTTTTTATATTTCTAATAAATTTAGTTATTTTGTACTTTCTGTTATTTAAAGGTCCCTCAAAGTATATTGCGATTTCCACACAATACGAAGCAGCACAACTGTTTTCAACATTGATAATAATAAGAAATGTCTCGTTTTTTGTTTGTTTGTTTTTGTTGTTGTTTTAAATAATTATGTAAATAATTAAAGATTTCCTTTTTTAACATTTACATTTCTTTGCCATCATGAACAGTCTGCAGTTAGATAAATTAACTATATTATTTCAATAATTATTATATTAAAAAACTTTTATTGAATGTTGGTGTTTCATATTGCCGTTGACAGGTTTATAAAAGCAACTCAAAGCCATGTGATTGTGATTTAACAGTTAAATGCTTTTGCATCAAGCACATGCAATCAGAATTCGAGATATGACTCTATGTTTTATGATGTATTTTGTAACGACAGGGCTCTGGAGCGGCCAGTGTTTGTCCGTCCTCTTCACAAACCAGCAGTTGCTGTATGTAATCAAAGGCCAGAATCTGATCCTACAGGCACAAATCGAGCTGCTGGGTGGTGAACATGTTGTTAAAGTGACATGGGACCACGTTGCAAAGACTTCTGGGACGAGTTCAACATTGGCTGAGTTTCCTCATAAAGTCTCAGATGGGAGAGTAACACTGGAACAACAGGGAGCCACACTGAAGATCAGAGATTATCAAGCAGCAGACGCCGGCGTCTACACGGTCACAGTTACAGACCAGTCAGGACAGAGACGATCTGCACAGCGAGCCGTTCAAGAGTATCGTAAGATCAACTAAAGCCTTGAATTCATTTCACATGCGCTGTACTGATATTTCTCAAACGTTCTGCTATTGTTCTTCTCCAAAAATTTCTGCACTTAAAGGAAAAGTTCACCCAAAAATGTCCAGAATATTTACTCACCCTCAGGCGATCCAAGATGTAGATGAGTTTGGTTCTTCATCAGATTTGGATTAATGTAGCATTCCATCACTTGTTCATCAATGGATCCTCTGCAGTGAATGGGTGCCGTCAGAATGAGAGTCCAAACAGCTGATAAAAACATCACAATAATCCACAAGTAATCCACAACCCTCCAGTCCATCAATAATTTATGAAGCATAAAGCTGCGTGTTTGTAGGAAACAAATCCATTGTTAAGATGTTTTAACTTAAAACCATCGCTTCCTGCTAAAATACGAGTTTAAAATCCATAATACTGTTTCCTCCAGTGAAAATTTAATCTTGTCTGAATCAGGAGAGAAATCTGCACAGATCAAGCACCGTTTACAAGCCAAAACGGTTCTAAACAAATATGTTGGTGGATTTTGATGTGAGACAACAGGGGATGGACTTTTTCACTGGAGGAAGCGTTATGGATTATGGACTCATATCTTGACCAGAAGCCTCAGATTGAAGTTAAAAACATGTTTTTTACAAACACGCAGCTTTTGGCTTCACGAGTCATTAACTGATGGACTGGAGTGGTGTGGATTATTGTGATGTTTTTATCAGCTGTTTGGACTCTCATTCTGACGGCACCCATTCACTGCAGAGCATCCAAGTGATGAGCAAGTGATGCAATGCTACATTTCTCCAAATCTGTTACCACGAATAAACAAACTCATCTACATCTACTCTTTGTAGTGTTTTGTAGATCATACAGTCTCAGGTGTGCTATTTTGGTTTTTATACAATTTTTAACCCTAGAATGCACATCTGAAAACCTCCACTTTTCATACAAACTTCATGTTAATGTGACAACAAAACGTGACAACAAATAGTTCTCATGAAGAAACACACTGAAAAGATAATTTCATGCAAAACATACAAAAAGAACACATCTGACACCCATTTGTGCTGTAGTGTTAAAACAAAAATTAAGATTAAAGTTTAAAAATTCACATCACAAGCATTTTCAGTTAGATTACATGAGGATGTCATCTATAAGTTCATTATCTTTTGAACCGATTTGTGTGATTTAATCAAACAGGATAAATGTTTTACAGAGACACAAACCAAATAACATCACAGAATTCATCGGATAATTGGTATCATTGATAATACATTCTATTACTTACTTGATGTCTATGCTGTTGATGTCATGTTGTGAAACACATAAGTGTACCAAAGTACTGAAATGATTTAAAATTCACTTTTGTTACACAGACAGCTATTTTAGCTTTTATACACTTATGCATTCATACAGACCAAGTCAATATTAATATAAATTATTTCAAATAAATGTTAGAAAAATGCACTCCATAATAGCAGTGACCCATTTGTGTCTTCATTGTGTCCTTGTGCATTTCTCCAGTAATTGAGCTCTCTCTCTGTGTGTGTGTGTCAGTGGCGGTGCATCACGTGTCGGTGATGGTGAATGTGTCTCACTCGGTTCTTCACTGTATGGAGGCGTGGGGAACTGAACCCACATTCACTTGGCTGCATGAGAAAGTGGTTGTAACGGAGAAAGTGGGTCGTGTTTCGGCACATGGGACGTCTCTGTACGTCTCCGGCACCTTCTGCGGACACTTCACCTGCGTGGTGAGCAACAAACTGGGACACAGTTCAGCCACATACACCGCAGGTACAGCTCTCACGCCATCACTGCGTCATGAAGGACAGGAACATTACTTTTCCTGAGGCTTAGAGCATGAATGACCTGAGAGGTTCAGTGACAGCATGTGTGTGTGTACTCGTTTCAATTATTCAAAGTCGACTCTTTCTTTTGAGAGACAATAACTTTATACACGGTGCACTTTCAGATTTAAAACTTTGCAGGATGTTTTCATTCACTTAGAGCTGTATTCACACTGCATGAAAGGTAATTTTCAAAAATCCATAATAGGGGCACTTTAACTAACGTTAACAGAGTAATAAATACTGTAACAAATGTATTACTCATTGTTAATGTTAGTTAATGCATTAAATATAGCTAACAAATGGAACCTTACTGTAAATTGTTACCATTAATCTTTATTTCAGTTTTAGTTATTTTAGAATATCAAGTTAAGCTAAATGAAAATAAGAAATGTTGCAACTACCTAAAAAAAAATATTTTCTTTTTTTTATTTTATTTAATTTTAATTTTATTCCAAGCAATGAATGTTTTTAGTTTTAGTTAACTATAATAACCCTGATTTTAGTTATTTAGTTATTTTAGTGCATCACGTTAAACTAAATGAAAATGAGAAATATTGGTGAGTCTTGGTATCTACCTAAAACAAGGATAACTTTTAATATTTGATTTAAATTGATGTTCTGTTTACACTGTAAATGCTTTATTGCAAATGTAAAAATAACCAGTTGTGATAAACAAGTGATAAAGTTTACCCTCGTTAATTTTAGAGCCCGGTCTCATGAAAATGCGTGTAAATAGTACGCCAAATAAAAACAAAAACTCGTGGTATTGATTCGCAAAAATTGACTTTGGCATGCATATGATACACACGTGTTTGGCGTGCATACGATACGTAATTTATTGGCGTGCATATGATACGCAGTTTTCACGTACGTATGATACACATCTACCCCACAACCCTAATCCTACCCATTGCATACACACGCCAAAGTCAATTTTTGTGTATCAATACCATGAGTTTTTGTTTTTATTTGGCGTACTATTTATACGCACTTTCATGATATTGGGTTGTAATTTTATGTTGTTCTGCTATTTTGTGTTCATTTGCTTCTCCCATTTGCTCTTTTTACACTATTATTCTATTTTCTATCACTCTATAGCCCAATACAATCAAATAATTTCTCAAATATTTATTACAATATATTGATAAATTGAACATTCACTTCAGTGGTATGAGATGACTGGATGCTTTCGACTGATTTCCCATTGAACTGTCACCAACATTGAACTGCAGTGCTCAAACTATTTCAAATATAGTGAATTAAGCTACAAACTCCATCATAATGATCAATGTTTACATCTAACATGTATTTTGAGGTGCATCTCGTCATATTAATAGAGTGTTTTCACTAGTTTCATCAGTAAACCGGTTACCTCACCTGAATGTGTTCCTAGATTTGTGTTGGATGTTATCTAAACATCATACTTTTTAAAATTTATTTCAGTTAATGTAAACAAAACTAGCGAGCTAAGCCAGTATTAGTACTGACAGTGTCATGTAAACATGACTGAAGCACGAAAAACGGAGGAATTGACAAACCAATTCAATTGAGAGTCATTTACTCTGGAACCACTCTGATTTGATTCAAACTTGTGATTTGAATCATTCAGTTCAAGCGATTCACAAGCAAAAAAATAAATAAATAAAAAGAAATAAAAAAAGGTTGAAAGAATTTCAACGTTGCTTGTAATGATTTAAAAAGAACGTAGCGATGGGCGAAATGGAGCTTTTCAAAAATCCAAATCAGTTAAACAATTGCATCACAAAATGATTCACTGTTTCGAAGCACTCCAATCGGATCGTGTATCGTGAAACATTTGATTCAGATCAGGACTTCAAATCATGCATCGCGAATGACTAGATTTTGATCGGAACTTCGAAGCGGGTTCGCTAATCATTTGAATGAGTTGTGATCAACGCTCCAAAGTCCCGATCTGAAATGATGGTTCGCGAATCTTTATTCAGATCAGGACTACGGAGCACGAATCGTGAATCATTTGATTTAGATCGGCAATTCGGAGCGAGTTCGTGAATCCTTTGATTCAGATCAGAACTTCAGAGTGGGTTCGCAAATCTTTTTTCTGATTTCTTTTTTTATTATTGTTAAACAGTGCAAAACATCAAACTATTAAGGCAGTACCGTTTTGAAAACAAAAAGAAAAAAAGAAGGAAATAAACAAATACACATACAAATCCCATCAGAAAATTAACCATGGTGTTATTACAGTAAACGTGTAACCATGTTTGTTGTTGTTTTGTTGTTGTTAAAAAGCATGTTTTTTTACACCCTTGCTAATCAATGTTATGCAATGAATGGAATGTAAATAGTTTTGAACCTGAAGGATTCCTGTCACACCCACGCGATGGGTGGAGATCTTGTGTGAACGTTTCGTTCCAGTTACTGACGTCTAAACCGGTTCGGTGCGTTACCGTCAGTGTACCGTGATTAACCCATCTTCTTAGATCACGCAACATGACTGTAGTGAAATCACTAATGCATGCCCTCCAGTGACTTCAAATGGACGCAACAGCAATATGATACATGCAATATCCAATCAGCTAAAATAGTTACATATATTAAAGTTAATCATTGAAAAAACAATTCTTCCGTCAGGCAAAACAGTTCATTTTACTGCAGGCCGTTTACGGTTCCATGAACTAATCATAAACTACACATTTAACACAATTCAATTTTTTGCACTTGATTGCACGAGAAAATGCATTAGATTTATTCTAGCCCTAAATGTCCCGTTTTGTGCACTGCAGGAGACACAGGCGTGGATATAACCGAAGGGAGAGGCTGAGAGAGCCGTGTGAAGAGTCTCTGTGAGCTGATCTCAGGACACTTTTACTGCGTTACTGACGAGAGCTGATGGACTGCCAGTCGCTTGACGCTTTCAGCACACCTTTTGATACTTTATTGATCAATGTATTAGACTTTTGTTATTTTATTAGACTTCCTGGAAAGATAGTTATGCATATTTCTTTAACCAAGTTAGACTAGCATCATCAGGAGGATTAGTTAATGCAATCCTTTCTGAAATACTTGATTCTGATTGGTCAGTTATGGCATTCTGACATTAATATGATGGCCACTAAACTATTAATTGACCATTGTCCCATATCAATAAATTAACATTTGACTGAGTAATTTTTCGTGATTTATTTATTTTTATAATCTGCTCAAATCTTAAATTTATTTGGCAAGAAGTCATGTAAAAATGGAAAAACTCATGATCAAGGAGTCTACACATAACAATTTCTTAATTTTCTGCCCCCAATTTTGTCCCACATTTTAGATTAATCCGCCCCTAAATGTCACATATAACAGTGACTGGTCACTTTGTCAATTAGACGGTCTATTCCGCTCTAAGTTTCCAGTTTTGACCACAATAATACAATTATTTTTATTCAAGAATAAATTACAACTAAATAGAAATAAAAATTACTACAACTTCAATTAAAATTAAAACTGAAAATATAAAAAAGCCAATTCAAAATATTAATAAATACAACAATAAACACATTTCAGATAAATCCACTCTTAAACAGCTCAACAGTGACTGATCACTTTGTCAATTAGACATAAATTCACACACATATATAAATTCAAAAATAAGGCTAAATAAAAATATTTGTGAAAAATTAGAAAAGCATTACTTTTATAATGCATTATATAGAAAGGCTGAGTGAAGTGTTAGAAATGTTTTTCTGGCATCTAACTCAATTACAATAAGTTGAAGTGATAAAATTACTAAAAACAAAAATTGAAATAAAAATAAATTAACAATGTATTTATATATAATCTCATCTCGGATATCATAAATCTGAAATTAAATATAACTATTAGATTTAAATGTATTTTTGAAAAATTAGAAAAGCATAAAAAAAAAATCTCAAATGAAACCTGGAAAAGGCTCATTCAAAATATTAATAAATCGTCCCGTAAAGATCACATAGGCCTATAACAGTGACTTTCACTTTATGTCCATTAGTCGCTCTCTCCCCAAGTTGCCAGTTTTGACCACAGAACCTGTAATGTGGACTAGACTTCATGCACAAGTCTTTTAACCTTGATATTTCCTTACAGATGACAAGTGCGTGAGTTCTTATGGACACTAATCAGTCTGAACTCCATCAGCATGACATTAGCATAATGAGCTCTTTTGTATTCCATAATTACGAAGTCAAAATTCGGCATGTTCACAAATGGAGAAGACGTGTAAAGAATGGCGATTTTAGATCAGTGTTCTCCAACATTCCCTCATTCCTGCTCTTAATAATCCGCTTTTATCTCATCTCTTGTTCTTGTCCTGTATCCATCGTGTCACTACTCTATAGTTTATGTTCTTCAGATGGAAAGCTGTAGTACATCACGCTCTTTTCTCAGCACACAATAGTTTATTGCCAACACGAAGAGCTTAAATGTCAAGAGTCCCAGAGGAGCGTTAATCTAGCTTTGATATTCTTCCATGGAGCTTCCAAAGTTTGCATTCAGCTAATTAGCGGTATAGAATCAGATATGGAAAGTTCAGCCTGATGTGGCTTTCATGAGGCGCTGAGGTGAGATGAGATGAGATGAGATGAGAGAGTGTCGCGATTCATCACAGCACATATTACAGGCCTTAAAGGGACACTGGCGAAATATGAATCACCCACTTCTTCATAAGTCTCTGGGTCACTTTATCCATCACTGCGACAGGATTTTAATATCTGCTGCTAAAGTTCAGACTATTACTGAGTGATTTATACATCATCTCATATTTTATAATAGTTTGATTTGCTGTTGTTATTATCAGTGTTGGTCAAAACTAGTAAAAAATAATTTTGGTTGCTAAAATCAAATAAAATCTTGGACAACCTAAATGCAAATTGAGTAAAACTTTAAGTATAATGCACTATAAAGTTATTCATGCATTATGTTTTCCTTATTAATTGTAAAGAATGTTAAAATGCATTATAATATTTGCAGATTCCATGCTGCATCTGAAACTGGTTGCTTGTCTTGTTTTAATGCATTATACTTTCTAAATGTGTTAATGAAAAGATAAGTATGTGGTTACAGTTATTCATGAGATCATATATTATACATTACATACCTTACATTATAAGGTGCATTACAAGACAAAATGAATGCATTTAAAATACTTTCATAATGCATTATATTGAAAGGCTTCGAGTACATTTTTAGAAATGTTGCTTTGGCATCCAACTCAAATACAACAAGTTGAAGTGATAAAATTACTAAAACAAAAACTTAAAAATAAATGAACTGAATGAACAAGCCATTTCTTTATACTGTATCTCATTATAACTGCAACAGGATTTGAATATCTGCTGCTGAAGTTCAGACTATTTCTCAGTATCTTGTGTGATTTATGCATCATTTCATCTCATCGATTTTTAATAAATTATAAATAATATTAGATTAAAATGTGAAAAACAAAAACTAGAAATAGTGGCTTGGCAACTAACTCCAATACAATAAGATGAAGTGCTAAAACTAAAAATATAAACATTTCTATACTACAAATATAGCTGCAATAAAATTACATGAAAAATTTAGATTTTTTTTCAGAACTCAGAAATGCTGCATAGGCAACAAACTCAAAACAAGTTAAAGTGCTAAAATTACTCAAATTAAAATAAAAACAAAGCTGAATAGAAATTATATACATGTAATTTAAAAAAAACAAAGTTTAAGTAACAAAAATTAAAATTTAGAAAAAATATATATATAAAAAAAAAAAGTAAAATAAATAATACTAATAGAATATTTGTTATTATATGCACTGATTATTTACTCAAATAAATTCTCTGTATTCCACCATGCATTGCACTTGACCTGACCTCGCAGTTTTATTTGAGTGTATTATTATTTATTCATTATTTGATGCAGCTGAAAGATAAAATGTCAGAACACAAAATTGGATAGAATATTATGAAAAAAAAAATAACACAACACAAACTGAATGTGACATGCACAAAGTGAGGTAATGATTTTTTTTACTTTTGTTGCAGCATTTGCTTAAAAAAAAAAAAAAAAAAAAAAAAAAAAT